GGGGGGGGGGGGGTCGTCTTATAATCGGAAAAATATGGAATGCTGTCTCCGTGTCTTAATTGTGCGAAATTATGTCGGATGTTGTCATGGAAATGACAATGACATGGAAATATTGTTTTAGATATTAAAAATCGTATTTCACTTGAGGCTGAATTCCAATCCTTTCACTTTCAGGTCATTGCACCTAATTTAGGCATGTTCACACTATAAAGGATAGCTTTTGCACCCGCACGAAAACCATACCAGGCTTCTGTTCACACATAAGAACGGTGATTTTGGCGCGATTCCTGTAACGGAGCGTAGCAGCGCCGCGCCGATCTCGGAAGTGGAGCGACACATATCTGATAGGTTTTGTGCCACAGTCTGGTGTAGTGTGAGAAGGTATTTGGACCGCAGCGGAAGTGAATAACTCGGAAAGAGGACTAGAACCACTGAGACGGAAGTGAATACATTATTGGTACGTAATTTCTCGGGTACTTAAATTTGGCGAGGATTAATATTCGAGGGTCTTTGATTTCACGATCTTTGTAAAATCGCGAAAATCATTTTACCAATAGAGCGTTTTCACTCGCGTGGCCTGCATCTATGCAAATTTATTGGAACAGAAGAAACCGTTTGCATAAGAAAAGAGTTCAACTCCCACGGGATTGGTTTGGGAAACCAACAAGGCCACCGTTTCATTGATTTGGGACCCCAATCTGGCCGCTGTGACGTCATGTGAAAACACTCTATAAGGTATTCAGGAGTGAAGATTGTGATTTAGACGATGAGACCCTCTCGAAAAACCGCTCCGTTACGATGTTCGATTTGTGAAGGACTTGTTCCAGTTCTGTGCCGTTGCTGTTCAAGCTATAGTTGAGAGCTTTTTGTGCCGGCACGAAAAGCTCTCCTATGCGCATATTTGCCAGCTGGATATTCCTGATTTTTCGAAGATTGGTGTTACTATGGAAACGCATTGCTTGACCAGAAAATAACGCTCGCCTACATTTATTTTTATTCACGAGACGAGGCAAATCCACTATTTTTACGGTCGAATCAGGCCACTTAGGAGACAAACAAAAAGTTCCGATCACTTCTTGAAGTGGTCAGCGGTTGTCATGCGGTTATGGCGATATTCTTCCTCTTTATAGGTTGTGTGTCACAACCTTATAAAATGTAATTTAAATATTGTATCTACTTAGCTCGTTTAGCTTTTTGCTATTCTGAGTAGCTTTTTTGCCTTATCTATTTTAATGTATGCTATTCTTTGTAAACGTTTTTTAATTTGGAAAAATAAAATGGTTGGTCGTTGTTGTTGTGGTAACGGTAAGTGTTGGAAACTTCCGAGTAGGTGGACATCAAGTCCTCTGAACTCTAAAAGCCTATCAGTTTGGCCTTAGCTCCGTTTCAGTAAGACTTTTATTCTATCGCTTGAAAATTCCTTTCTAGAACTGTAATAGCAACTTACGTACTTTGTTAAGGAAAATTGACTTGAAATCAATAGTATAGCTGTTTGTTTTAAGAGGTGTACGTGTCAGTATGTTTTTAAGATAACAAACATCAACTTCCCTTTAATCACGTTTAAGCCGGAGAATGCGGAATCATGTACTCGAATGTCTTCCTTTTTTTCCAAATCTGATAATTTTTAGCTGTCTTAATTTTGGCAACTGCAGAGCTTCCACGCATTGTTGTGTTGATTGAGGCTATTATTACTAATATATTCTATGCTCTAAGACCTCGAAATTACGTGACCTGTATTTTCAGGACAGAAAATGTCCTTATTTTTAGCAAAACAATCTAGTGTACCTGTTTACGGTCATCTTTATTCAATGTCGCATGAATGGTTGTTTATTTCCAGAAAGTGGTCAGCCAACGGATACTAAATGAAAGGTTGCTTGAAGTTTATCCCCATGGACTATTGTAGTAAGTAGTTCTCTAACCCCAGCCAATCATTTTCATAATGTCGACATCGCCAGCGGATTAAACGCTGAAACGTTCACATGGTCCGACGACCCTTTAACCCCGTTGGAGAGAAAGGTGCTAAATAACTGGTGTAAGTCTTCCTCATTCCAAAACCGAGAAGGTTTAAATAGAAGCTAGTAGAGATGCCTAGTGTCCATATACGTATTTGCAACAGAGGAGAGGTAACATCAAATACACAGCAGTAAAGAATTAAGGCAATGATGAGGAAGCCACTCTTTGCTCTCCTTGCCGCTCAGGTGCTTTATTTGCAGCTATATTTTACTAGTGGTAAGTTATTGTAATGACCATCGCTTATTGCACTGGTAAATTACGAATTTCTGGTAATTTACATCAAACAAGAATGGTTGTTGGCAAATTTTGTTAAGGGGGTTGAAAATTGACTGCAATCTGACCAATACAAATTTGGTGCAGACTGCACGTTTCATCGTTTACTCGAGCACCCCAATGATATTTGTTTATCTACGAAGACAATTTTTCATGCGCATCCTAGGAGGGACAAGGGCAGCAACTAGTGGTGCGGGATATTTATGGGTGAAATCTCTTCAAGCAAACTCGGAACTGGGAGGCTTCTCTCCGGTACTTCTTGAAAACCTTGTAGGCAATTTACCTGTTGCGCGTCCAAATGTGCTTCATCTGGGTCTCTGAAGACGTGCGTCAACGAAAACCTTATGCAGGATTACTCGTCTTGGATAAGCAGAAAAATCGAGCTGACAAAATACTCTCCGAGGCCCACCCAAAAATAAATTTATAGACGACGATCTCAGGCTTAAAGCACGTTCTAAGAGACGTGAGGCCCGAGCTCAACCCTTGCTTTCAAGGAAGTAAACCATTTATGGGATGTAATCGATCCAGATGGATTAGACCTGTTGCGCGTCCAAATGTGCTTTCTCTCGGTCTCTGAAGACGCGCGTCAACAAAAACCTTATGCAGGATTACTCGTCTTAAATAAGCAAAAATATCAGGCTGACAAAATACTCTCCGGGGCCCACCCAAAAATGAATTTATTGACAACGATCTCAGGCTTAAAGCACGTTCTAAGAGAAGTGGGGCCCAAACTCAATCTTTGCTTTCAAGGAAGTAAACCACTTACGGGATGTAATTGATCCAAATGGATTAGACCTATAGATTAAAAATGGTAAATTGATCTGCATCACATAGCAATTCCAATAAGAGGATCGCATCATTTTAGGGTGATATGAGAAGGATTACATAGCAAAATGGGAAAAGGTAACCAAATATTCAGAAAAAAAAGTATTGTCCAGAAACAGATATTGTTGCATTCAGAATTTATTTGAGTTCTTTTGCTTATTCATTAAGGTTTTCAACTTTCGTTAGTAACTGAAATGTAAAGGGTTTTTATTGAAACTGGTGGTTAGGTCAACAAGTGCATACTTAACCAAAAATTAACGATGAACAGTTATCAATTTATTGCAATTATTATTATTATTATTATTATTATTATTATTATTATTATTATTATTATTATTATTATTATTATCATTATCATTATCATTATTATTGGGCGATTCTCTCCAGCACCCTTGTGTTTTTCTTGGTCTTCTCATTTCTCAGCTGCATCCAACAGCTTATAGGCACACCACATTCCGCAAAATGTGAGCGGTACGAATTGATGGCTGATAACTGAGTACTTCAAACAATGTCGGGTAAACTTAATCTTCCATACTAGGCCTTTGCATTGCTTTGCCTTCTTTTCCCATCTTGAACAAAACCATTCCTGAGACATCCACAGGACTCCTCTCCAGCGACATCTGAAGTTTTCGTAGTAAATTCTCCCCGTGGAGCTTCCCGTTCCTGACTTTCTCCTCTTCCTTTCTTTTCTGGTAGTCCTGAAGATTCTCTTCTTCAACAAACACCTTCTCCTGATATCTCTCAGGTAGCCATGCAACAATTTTCTCTCCTTCTAACACTCCTCAATACCAATAAAGCCTCACCCCTTCTTTTCTTAGTAGATACGGTCTGGCAACATTACGTTTTGTGTGTAAAGAGCCATTTACCGCCAATGTCGTCCTAGTTTTTCTATCCATACTGACCAGCCCTTCCAACACGCAATCCACGATACTTGCACTGTAGCGTATTAAACCTACAGCCTGGACATTGATGCACTAATAAGATTTCCGCCATTCAATTTGGATCTACACAACCGTCTTAATTTCTCTTCAGATGTATTCCGCTGTCACCTCGCCTTTCATCTGGTCTAATTGTAAAATACTAAGATATATGTAGCCCCTATGCCCCCTTCCGCACCATCTGACAGGTCTATCGTCATCGTCATCGTCATCGTCATCGTCATCGTCATCATCATCATCATCATCATCATCATCATTATCATCATCATCATCATCATTATGATCGTTATTGTTATTGTCATTGTTATCGTTATCGTGTATATCATCATCATAGTTCTTTTTTTTATTTATTTATTTATTTTTTTACATTCAAGGGGCTGTCTTTCAAGCTGGGAAGGTAAATATTACCGACACTTCCCAAAACAACCATGGTTGCCAAGCCGTTTCTTTTAAAACTCAATTCCAGGGTTCGGGAGATGTAAAGGTGTTCGCGACGCTCAGTCACGGAAACAAATATGTTAAAATCCACGACCCAGCGTCTCTTTGGGTGAAGTCAGTAATTTAAATATTGTATCTACTTAGCTCGTTTAGCTTTTTGCTATTCTGAGTAGCTTTTTTGCCTTATCTATTTTAATGTATGCTATTCTTTGTAAACGTTTTTTAATTTGGAAAAATAAAATGGTTGGTCGTTGTTGTTGTGGTAACGGTAAGTGTTGGAAACTTCCGAGTAGGTGGACATCAAGTCCTCTGAACTCTAAAAGCCTATCAGTTTGGCCTTAGCTCCGTTTCAGTAAGACTTTTATTCTATCGCTTGAAAATTCCTTTCTAGAACTGTAATAGCAACTTACGTACTTTGTTAAGGAAAATTGACTTGAAATCAATAGTATAGCTGTTTGTTTTAAGAGGTGTACGTGTCAGTATGTTTTTAAGATAACAAACATCAACTTCCCTTTAATCACGTTTAAGCCGGAGAATGCGGAATCATGTACTCGAATGTCTTCCTTTTTTTCCAAATCTGATAATTTTTAGCTGTCTTAATTTTGGCAACTGCAGAGCTTCCACGCATTGTTGTGTTGATTGAGGCTATTATTACTAATATATTCTATGCTCTAAGACCTCGAAATTACGTGACCTGTATTTTCAGGACAGAAAATGTCCTTATTTTTAGCAAAACAATCTAGTGTACCTGTTTACGGTCATCTTTATTCAATGTCGCATGAATGGTTGTTTATTTCCAGAAAGTGGTCAGCCAACGGATACTAAATGAAAGGTTGCTTGAAGTTTATCCCCATGGACTATTGTAGTAAGTAGTTCTCTAACCCCAGCCAATCATTTTCATAATGTCGACATCGCCAGCGGATTAAACGCTGAAACGTTCACATGGTCCGACGACCCTTTAACCCCGTTGGAGAGAAAGGTGCTAAATAACTGGTGTAAGTCTTCCTCATTCCAAAACCGAGAAGGTTTAAATAGAAGCTAGTAGAGATGCCTAGTGTCCATATACGTATTTGCAACAGAGGAGAGGTAACATCAAATACACAGCAGTAAAGAATTAAGGCAATGATGAGGAAGCCACTCTTTGCTCTCCTTGCCGCTCAGGTGCTTTATTTGCAGCTATATTTTACTAGTGGTAAGTTATTGTAATGACCATCGCTTATTGCACTGGTAAATTACGAATTTCTGGTAATTTACATCAAACAAGAATGGTTGTTGGCAAATTTTGTTAAGGGGGTTGAAAATTGACTGCAATCTGACCAATACAAATTTGGTGCAGACTGCACGTTTCATCGTTTACTCGAGCACCCCAATGATATTTGTTTATCTACGAAGACAATTTTTCATGCGCATCCTAGGAGGGACAAGGGCAGCAACTAGTGGTGCGGGATATTTATGGGTGAAATCTCTTCAAGCAAACTCGGAACTGGGAGGCTTCTCTCCGGTACTTCTTGAAAACCTTGTAGGCAATTTACCTGTTGCGCGTCCAAATGTGCTTCATCTGGGTCTCTGAAGACGTGCGTCAACGAAAACCTTATGCAGGATTACTCGTCTTGGATAAGCAGAAAAATCGAGCTGACAAAATACTCTCCGAGGCCCACCCAAAAATAAATTTATAGACGACGATCTCAGGCTTAAAGCACGTTCTAAGAGACGTGAGGCCCGAGCTCAACCCTTGCTTTCAAGGAAGTAAACCATTTATGGGATGTAATCGATCCAGATGGATTAGACCTGTTGCGCGTCCAAATGTGCTTTCTCTCGGTCTCTGAAGACGCGCGTCAACAAAAACCTTATGCAGGATTACTCGTCTTAAATAAGCAAAAATATCAGGCTGACAAAATACTCTCCGGGGCCCACCCAAAAATGAATTTATTGACAACGATCTCAGGCTTAAAGCACGTTCTAAGAGAAGTGGGGCCCAAACTCAATCTTTGCTTTCAAGGAAGTAAACCACTTACGGGATGTAATTGATCCAAATGGATTAGACCTATAGATTAAAAATGGTAAATTGATCTGCATCACATAGCAATTCCAATAAGAGGATCGCATCATTTTAGGGTGATATGAGAAGGATTACATAGCAAAATGGGAAAAGGTAACCAAATATTCAGAAAAAAAAGTATTGTCCAGAAACAGATATTGTTGCATTCAGAATTTATTTGAGTTCTTTTGCTTATTCATTAAGGTTTTCAACTTTCGTTAGTAACTGAAATGTAAAGGGTTTTTATTGAAACTGGTGGTTAGGTCAACAAGTGCATACTTAACCAAAAATTAACGATGAACAGTTATCAATTTATTGCAATTATTATTATTATTATTATTATTATTATTATTATTATTATTATTATTATTATTATTATTATTATCATTATCATTATCATTATTATTGGGCGATTCTCTCCAGCACCCTTGTGTTTTTCTTGGTCTTCTCATTTCTCAGCTGCATCCAACAGCTTATAGGCACACCACATTCCGCAAAATGTGAGCGGTACGAATTGATGGCTGATAACTGAGTACTTCAAACAATGTCGGGTAAACTTAATCTTCCATACTAGGCCTTTGCATTGCTTTGCCTTCTTTTCCCATCTTGAACAAAACCATTCCTGAGACATCCACAGGACTCCTCTCCAGCGACATCTGAAGTTTTCGTAGTAAATTCTCCCCGTGGAGCTTCCCGTTCCTGACTTTCTCCTCTTCCTTTCTTTTCTGGTAGTCCTGAAGATTCTCTTCTTCAACAAACACCTTCTCCTGATATCTCTCAGGTAGCCATGCAACAATTTTCTCTCCTTCTAACACTCCTCAATACCAATAAAGCCTCACCCCTTCTTTTCTTAGTAGATACGGTCTGGCAACATTACGTTTTGTGTGTAAAGAGCCATTTACCGCCAATGTCGTCCTAGTTTTTCTATCCATACTGACCAGCCCTTCCAACACGCAATCCACGATACTTGCACTGTAGCGTATTAAACCTACAGCCTGGACATTGATGCACTAATAAGATTTCCGCCATTCAATTTGGATCTACACAACCGTCTTAATTTCTCTTCAGATGTATTCCGCTGTCACCTCGCCTTTCATCTGGTCTAATTGTAAAATACTAAGATATATGTAGCCCCTATGCCCCCTTCCGCACCATCTGACAGGTCTATCGTCATCGTCATCGTCATCGTCATCGTCATCGTCATCATCATCATCATCATCATCATCATCATTATCATCATCATCATCATCATTATGATCGTTATTGTTATTGTCATTGTTATCGTTATCGTGTATATCATCATCATAGTTCTTTTTTTTATTTATTTATTTATTTTTTTACATTCAAGGGGCTGTCTTTCAAGCTGGGAAGGTAAATATTACCGACACTTCCCAAAACAACCATGGTTGCCAAGCCGTTTCTTTTAAAACTCAATTCCAGGGTTCGGGAGATGTAAAGGTGTTCGCGACGCTCAGTCACGGAAACAAATATGTTAAAATCCACGACCCAGCGTCTCTTTGGGTGAAGTCGGTGTCAACAACAGGTTTTGAAGCCTGCGTGCGCGAAGCAGGAAGGGGCTCTGGTGGAACGTCTGTGATCAACTGGCTTGCATTTCAAGGTTCGCATCAAGGCATACACTCAGGGATCGTGGAATTCAATGAATTCACGTCACGAACACAGTGCAAGAAGATATCGCTAAGCATTCAGAAACAGGTAACTTCGCAACGTCATCCAATTCATTCATTTAGTCTTCCATGTTAGTTTTAAAGTCAATACTCACGAAAAACTCATAACTCAACTTCGACCTTAAGGGAAAAAAATAACGAAAACGCGCGTGACTTCACATCAGTAAAATTTAAAAAAAAGGCCTTGTTTTGTAAATTGTTTAAATACTATGCCTGCAAAAATCACCAAAAAATGTAATGGTTATAGTGCTCCATGATGAAAGTTGTTTGATATCTTCTTCATGGCTCTGCAGGAACATTTAATGCGTGGATAAATGGACACAGTGATTACTTCAGCACAGAATTGCGAAGTGGCCTAAAGCAGCAATATCATCGTGGCATATCCCCTTTAACAAGAAAAGGGCTTAGCACTATATGAATCGTCCGTTGTTTTTCCTATGTTTTGTTTGCTGTTCAAGAATCTCCTCCTAATACTCTGGCAAATCGCCGCATNTTCAGCCCGGTGCCGTTGGCTTTGAGGCCTCCTAACACTTTAATGTTGAATAAAATTAAAACCGTTCAAGCTAGGACCATCAAACTTGGCGACTCTTGCTGAATTTTTCTAGATTTACTACTAATGAATTATTATATCACACTTAATTTAGCATTATTTACGTAGCTGTTAATATGATCTAGGCTTTTTAGTGACTAGTTTGGAAACATTAATTGAATTTAAAATGGCCAACTAGCAGGAATAAATGGAATTATTATTCATTCAAAATATTTCCCCGATTCTGATTGGCTAAAAGCACACGTTTAATTCACCATAACCAGTTACTGATGACCAAATTTGGAAGAAATTTGACTTTAACGAGGAAATGACGTCAAAAATGCAGCGTTCGTGCAGGTTAAGGCACCGTTAACCGAGAAGACCTGGGGACGAGGTTGAGTTGTTTTGGTTGTGAACTTGAAAAAATGGCGGACATTTCACTCGTTTCAAGGGTAAGAACTAGGCGAAAAAATAGCTAAAAACATGGCAAGAACAGCAAGAAGACCACTCGAAGGGCGACATCTGCTATTTGGAAAATATTTGCGGAGCTGGACAAACCTAAACATACAATATCGAAGATGAACTGAACATCGATGTCGATCGATGGATCAATGGAGGTAAGCATGTTTTAGCTATGTTTTAGCTAGGTGTTATCCGCCTCGGCCTACGGCCTCGACGGATAACACCCTCCTCGATCTCCATAATTCTTCATAAGATACTCAGCCTCATTCATTAACTGTTAATTAATTTAAATAATTCAAAATGGCAGATCCAAAAAGTCATATGGTCTCAATAAGAAATGACGTCATCATGTTGTCACTTCCATTGTTAAAGATGATCAAATTGTCAACCATCGTCATGATTTTTAAGTAATTTAATTGTTTTTGCTTAATGGCTACAGGAACAATTGATAAGCTATAGGTTCAGACAATAAATGCAACAAGGCGACATTAGTGACGTCAAATTACGTTATTGTGTCAATCACATTACTCCTACTTGTTGGAATGATGATTACACTATTTTGTGTAAATTTAGTGGCTGTATCATGAGTGGTTATAAACTTCTCGAAGGGGCCTTCCTCCTCCAATTCGCAGGGAGCCCAAAAACGCCCGGTCAGAATAGTGTTAAATATAGGTCATGGTATTTTGCTTCTTTCTTAGACTGCAGATACAAATTTTTCTCAGGGTTCCCACCGTCAGTTTAAGTTTTCTTAAAAACCATAATTAAAGACATTTAATGCTGTGACTGTTACTTGCGTCCTTCTCTTCAGAACTGGCTCGCTTATGATTTGCTACCTGAGGCTTGGAATTTTACTGAGCAAGGAAGGCTTCATTTTTCTGGACTTGGTGCACCAAAGAAAGAGAACAATTATGCCTTTTGTCAGGTTGGAAATATGACGTTTATTAATGATACATCCAATTTTTTATTGACTTAACCCTCGGACGTACAAGGGGGGGATGGATACCACCCACCCATATGGTTTTTCTGAGTTTTTTCCTAGAGGATAAAATATCAGTACCAGACGTTTTCAGTTCGTTAATCCCTCGCGCACATTTTGAGACAAGTTTAGTGATGGTCAGTTGCTATGGTTACGATATATAACGTCAGAAGTAGCGGGTGGTCAAGCCAATTTTGGGTGAAAATACATGTTTTTTCAACTTCTTTCAACAATAAAAGGAAATATTGAGGCTAAAATCATACAAAGTGCTTGTTTGTGTGTTATTTGTCATTTAAAGCACAAAAAATTACCATTTCTCGCAGTTTTAACCAGATTTCTAATTCTTGGTAAACTCCAAGATGGCGACCATTGTTGGTGACGTCACAGGCCTCCAGCAGCGCCACCAGCCCTTGAATATACCTCATCTTGTTAAGAAGATCAAAGGCTTTCCACTAAAGATAAAATGGTTTCAAAATACTGCAACATATCAAAAACTCCGGGGAGGGGTTCCATGCATCCAACCCCCCTTGCACCTGAATTTGCATGTACGTCCGAGGGTTAAATTACAAACTCAAGCCTTTAAACCAACGTGGTCAACAATCAACGTTTGTGTTGTGTATTTCTCATTTCTTTGACGGACACTTGCATTTTTAAAATAAGAGTTTAAGTCCAACAATAGATAAGACCTTCTTGATCATCAATGCGTTGTTCACAAGAGTTGTGTTTTAGATTTGTTGACTGCAACGTGTTCAGGAGGTGCATCCACTATTAGATATATTTTATAGACCTAGAGTTTGCCTAATCATTTTCTTAATGAACTGGGACAATATCACTTTCTTCAAAAGGATCAAAGAGACAATATTTCTTTAAACAGTCAGGGAAAATTATTGTGTTTGGTAAATCATGATTTATAGGATTATAAGTTTGAGAATCCATTCTACGAGCCGCCCAATATTCTGGCATCTGTCGGCCATGAAAATGGCACCAGGGAACTGTTAATGAAGGCAGATGGTCGCTATAGCAACGCTTTGACTGTCTGGATGGAGGTGAGTAGCCATGAAGACACATAATAAATTGAAACTGTTTCAAAGATTTGCTGATTAAAATAGCTACCTTCGCTAAAGAGTAAAGCACTTATAACTAAAGAAGTTCGAAGTGGCAATTAACACTTGACGGCAAATTCAAGCAATAACTTGAATCATCAAGCTGATTGTCACTTCCCGTACTCATTTTCACCTGATGATTCTTCTTAACGGAGGCTCTGTGGGTTCATGGTTTAAAAACGGTCACATCTGTAGATTGTAATTGGTTGATTACGATCCATTCTTTTCTATCATTATTTATTTCCGTGGCGATTATGACTGAAAACTAACTTCTCGGAATGTAGTGTTCTTTTCACGTAATCTGATTGGTCAACTTTGTCTAGATGGCCTCGGTTATAGTAGTCGCACTGTAACAGACAGCAGCGTCTACTATATAACCGTGAGAACTGTACGTTTGTTTAAACGATTCAAAGTTGCTTTTGTCCTTATTGCCCTAACTGGACGCCCATGTCTGAAAGCTAACAAGTCAATACAAACTTTTTATTTATCGGTATATTTGATGTTATTTTCCAGGAGATCACTCGTTTGTCTTTCAAAGTGTGCATCAAAGACAGTCAGGGAATGAGCAAGTCTCACGATCCAGTTACAGTGGACTACGCTATAGTGGGAGGTACATTACTCTTATATTTGCTTATTCTTTAATTTCAAAGATTTGTCTCTCATACTGGTTCGTCCTACTATCAAGGCATTTGGACGTTGGGTCAAACGTCAAATTGAAGAAATAAATTGGAATAAGAATAAAGTCAGGCAATTGTCACTGTAAAAAAATATGATCAAATGTCGAAGAAAGAAGTTATAAAAAATGGCGTTTAAGTATTAAGAACAACTTCGTATTGATCGTCTTATTATCTGGGTGAATAACTGCAGCTGTGTACCTCTTTTTCAAGCGTTTTTGTAGAAAAAGCAACTCCCCCTTTCCTATCCTTTTTTGCCATAAATTTTCCCTACAGGAAAAACAAAACAAAATTTAAAAAAAATCAAAAAGCAGTCGTGCTCTCAAAGGATGTAGGACGTCAGGTCAATTTGCTATTCATACAAGTGCTGATTTTGTTGTTGTTTTTTCGCCCTAAAGATATAGACCCGTGCACAAACGTTACTTGCGATTACCATGCCATCTGCAAAGCTTTCTCTGCATTTGATGCCCGTTGTGTTTGTGATGACAACTGCCCGTCGTACGAGGAGCCAGTGTTCTGTGCTCTCTATCATCCCGGCAGTTGTACAGGTAAGATAGCGTTTTCTAACACTTTTTAAGACCAGCTTAACCAGCGTACGCAGAACTCTAGTGTTATGAGATATGTTGCTGCTGATGACTTACGACATCACTCAATTTGGCGGCCATCTTGTAATTTACTGAGAATGCCGTTTTAAGCACATGGCATTTTCCATGCTCTAGGTCTAAAGTTCATGATTAAACATTATTTTGCTTATTTTGGTACTGTTTTGAACGCCATTAAGTACCAATCATATAGTGCAATTATATGATTGTGTGATTTTACAATCAGCTTTTAATTTA